AGTAGCAGTAGCAGTAGCAGTAGAAGTAGCTACCATTACATGACTACCGTCGCAAGCAGAAGACCTGAGTTCGATTCCTATGTTCAGTGGGTTTTGTTTTCATAGAGTAACTCTGTCTATCTGCTGGAACTGATCATCCATCTCCGTCCAGGTTGGCCTTGACAGGCAGCGTTGAAGCAGCCCGCCCCCTAAATAATTTAAGTTGGCTTCATTGTGCTATTAAAGGTTTAATGATGATACATGTAATAATGAATAATGATATTATGGCAAATTTTCACTCGGCGGCAAAGTACTTGTATTGTCGGAATTGTCTCAAACGGCCACCCATGGTCTAAGAGAAGAGTGGCTGTCTTAGACTGGTGGTTGTATTACACAGTGTCATTATAAAGTGAAAAAATAACCCCAAGGGGAAATCTAAAGCGGCCTTTTGTAAAGTAATTATCTCATACAGGTTGCTTTTAGAGCATGTTGGACTGTGTGCCGAATGTCAACTTAACAACTTAACATTATTATACAATTGTTACATATTAACTTAACATTATTGTGCTATTATTACACATTACGTTTACATTATTATACAATTATTATACAGGGTGATCCAAAAAAAAACCCAACCCAGTACAACTTTTTTTTCTACTTATCTCGGACAAAATCTGTACTAGAATGTTGTAATTTGGAACTGATATGATTAATTCAAAAGGAATTTGTTTGACATAAAATTCACAAAGAAGAAATTTATTTTCGAAAACGGAAATGGCGTATACAAAAAACCACCTATAAATGCAAAATGAACCAATTTAAAAGATCTTGTAAGGAAAGTCATGAAATGATTAGTTCGTTTTTTCCTTTCCTTTTATTTTTTAAATCAAATATTTCCTTCCCTGTGACATTTAAACAGTAGATCTATTTCTTACAGAGTTTTAAAAAATATTGTTAAAATTCTGGAATTCCGAGAAACAATGGTCTATATGTCCTCTGTTGGACTCGGCACATTTGAACGCGTCGCTCGTAATTGCAGTGGTGGCCAAACACAAGGATCCACTCACCATGAGTACTCAAAGCCACATACACGGTACACCTTACAGTGTGGAGTTGTTTCTAGAGACAATAGGGGAGTGGGGATGAGGTAGCCCAAATAGACAGCATTTGAGGAGTTGGTATAACCTTAAAGGTAAATATGGGCTTTGCCAAGGAACAAAATGCCATAGAGGAAATGTTCACGCTTTTCAAGACGATCGAGGAATCATGAACACATTGCTGTCCTCTGATAGCTTCGCGAACGGGAAAATGGTACAGTCGCAGATTAAGATCTGCCTTGAGAACTTTACATAATTATACAATTATTATACATTAAATTGACATTATTATTCAATGATTATACATTATCTGACATTATTATACAAATACATTAACTTAACATTATTATGCACATTATTATTCAATGATTATACATTATCTGACATTATTATACAATTCTTATACATTAACTTAACATTGTTATGCACCTACTAGATCTATACATTAAGTTAACATTTTTATACAATCTCTCTACACAGCACACCCGACGTCTGCCCTTCCGCCATCCTCCGCACAAGTTGTGAAACCGTGAGCGCACCAAACAGCACTTGCCTGTTATATCTAAGAGTCTCTGGTACATGTGTAATGTCTGTGGGGTCTCGTGTGTGGAGGGAGATCTCGTGTGTGGAAAGGGACCTGACGACTGAGACCATAGACTTGTACTGTAATGATAAATATTCTAGACTGCACACTGTGACGCAATCCCGTTTCACCGTGGAGCGTAAAATTTGGCTCTATTATTTTGGAGTCTACTGTATAAAAGGTCGTGGGGGAAAAAGTTGCGTGCACACTCGGCTATATTTTACATCAAGAAGTTTTTACAGTATTTATTTATTTATTTATTTATTCATTCTTTCTTTCTTTCTTTCGTTCTTTCTTTCGTTCTTTCTTTCATTTATTCTTTTTTTAAATTTATTTATTTATTTTTAGCGAAACTGATGTTTTTGCACTTCACTCGAGTGCCCATGGTGCGCACTAGTGCAGAGAATTTTTACACGTATAAAAAGATAAGAGAGCGGCGGACATGACCGTTCTCGGTCTAGGATATTAAACTCATAATCTAATTCAAGTCTATTGCGGAGAAAGACAGGATTACTTCTGTCTGGAACCCTTTTCGCTATGTTTTTTCTTTTCTTTTCTTTGGTTTAAAAGAATGTCTGTGTTTGTGGATTTTTAAAAATATTTTTTTGGGGGGAGGGGTTTGTTCCGTATTTGTTTTTGTTGCTTTTTAAAAATTAAAATCACTTTTCGGGGTCTGTTAGTGTCATTGTTTTTGTTATTTATTGCTATTTATTTATCTTCCATTTTAGGGAGCGGGGGGTGGGGGGTAGCTTTTTTTCTGTCATTACCTAGTTGCTTTATATTACAAAATAATTATATTTACTTGAAGCCAGTACCCATACTGGACTCGAAGCAATTTTTTTAAAATTAACGGTTACTTCGAGTACCGTAAATGAAAGCATTTTAGTATTTTATTTGTTTTGATAAGTGTTTTTACTGCGCTCGCAACTGCATAAGGTCATATGAGCGCGCGGGACACACCTAATAATTTCAGTTGGTAGGAAATTTTGAATTTTGCCCGGGTGGCGGCCGAAGCCTACTCTTATCGATCTTAGACCACCAAGGAATCTTTAACGTGTGCAACTTGCACACGGACCCTCCGAAATTTTTGGCTCTTGTCCGAGAAGGCCAGGTGTAGATCTTTCCTACCAGAAGATCAGGGGTGTGGCAGAAAGACAACTGTAAGAAGGAGTCAATGAGTAGCTAGTAGAAAGGCTGCAGAAAGAGTCAGGAGCCCAGAGGAAGGGGCAAAGGAGGTGAGGGGGTGTGGGCAGAAAGAGGAGACGAAAGCAGACGACAGAATGTTGCTACAGAGCAGGAAAGAAGGTGAAAGGAGACAATTTTAGAGAAGAACATATTTCGGTCGCTACCCGGATTCGAACCCGGGACCTTTGAATGAGAGGCCATCACCTAAACCTCTAGGCCAGGAGAGCCCCCCTTTAGTACTTTATCCTACGATTAATGAAGTGAACAGTTTAGTTAGGCAGACAAACAAAACAGAGGAAAATGAATAGTAGTAGTAGTAGTAGTAGTAGTAGTAGTAGTAGTAGTAGTAGTAGTAGTAGTAGTAGTAGTAGTAGCAGCAGCAGCAGCAGCAGTAGTAGTAGT